CCAGTTGAGACAGAACGATCTTGTCTACGTAGATCTTTCAAAAAGCAAGGCTTCTGCCAATGACGCCGTTACCATAAGAAATATCAGCCTCGCTACCGCTATTGCTTCCACGCTGGCAATTATTTATTCAATCATCAGAAAGTAATCTTTATGGCCGGAGAAATACTTGATTATTCAAGGAGAAAGCAGAATGTCATCAGCCCCCGGGAAGTTATTTTCAAGTACCTGAGGTACCTGCCCTGGCTGATTATCTCAGTGGCCATTATGCTGCTGCTGGCCTGGCTTCAATTGAGGTATTCTACGCCGGTATACGGCGTAAATGGTAAAATACTGGTTAAGAAAAATAGCAATTCCTTCTCCAATACCAGCGAAAAATTTGATGATATTTTTATGATGCAGGGCGGAAGCAGCAGCCTTACAGACGAAATTGAAATCATCAAATCCAGGTTAATGGCTGCCCGCGTAGTAAAATCGCTCGGCCTGCAGGTGCAGTTTTTTAACAAGGGGAAAATCAAAAAGCCCTCTATCATTCATCCAAAAGACATGCCTTTTATGATAGCCATAGAAGGCATGAAGGATTCAACCACAGGTTTTTCTCTGGGAGTAACGGCCATTGACAACGCCCGTTATAAAATAAACGAGGCGCCCACGGTATATAATTTTGGTCAATGGGTAGACATGCCTTTTGGAAAAATGCAGCTCAGCATTACGGGAAGGGGTTTCCAGTCTTTCAGCAGCAACCAGTTTATTATTTCTTACCAGCCGCTGGAAGCAGTAGCAGCGGGTTTAAGTGCCGGCATTATTGTGGCGCCTTCCGGTGATTTTAATTCCAATGTGCTGGCCATTGGCTACCAAACCGAAAACATAAAATGGGGCCTTGATATTGTAAACAGGTTTATGCAGGAATACCAGCAGTCTGGCCTGGAAGACAAAAGGCAGATTGCTGTAAATACCCTGGCGTTTATTGATGACCAGCTGCGTACCGTAAAACAAGACCTGGGCAGTGTAGAAAAAAACCTGCAGGTATACCAGGAAGAAAAAAGGGTGTTTAACCCAGAGATACAATCACAGTTGTATTTTGGCGACTTGTCAGAATCGGGCAAACAATTAACCGAGCAGGGGGTAAAACTGAAAATAGTAGAATACCTCGGCAATTATATTGGCGATAGAAAAAATCCCTACCGTACCGTGCCTTCTACCATGGGCATTGAAGAGCCTTCTTTGATACAGCAAATCACTGAGTTCAACAAGCTGCAACTGGAGCGTGATGTAGCCCTAAAGACCACTACGCCGGCCAACCAACTGATAAAAGATTATGAAACCGGCATTGAAAAACTGCGGGAAGACATGGTAGAGAACCTGCAGCATATAAAACAGGGTTATGCCGTAGCCATCAATGATATTAATAAAAAAAGCCAGGAGGCCGACAAGCAGATTCGCAGCATGCCGGGCAAGCAAAAAGAACTCCTGGAAAAAACAAGGCAGCAAAAAATTCTGGAAGAACTCTATTCTTACTTACTGCAAAAGAAACTGGAGACCTCTATTGCCTCCGCTTCCACCATCTCTAATATCAAAGTACTGGAGCCCGCCATGGCCGCGGGCAGGCCGGTATCGCCCAACAGGAGATCTTTATACACTATTTTTCTTTTGGCAGGTATTGTCATTCCCGCCGGTATTATTTTCTTACTGGAATACCTGAACGATAAAGTAAAAAGCAAAGAAGATATTGAGAAAAATACAGACGCCCCCATACTGGGCGAAATTGGCCACGCGGCGGAAAGCGGTGCTTTAGTGGTAACAAAAAACAACCGCCAGTTTATTGCAGAACAGTTCCGCATCATCCGCTCCAATATGCAATACATACTGCCAAAGGTAGAGCGGCCGGTGTTACTGGTTACTTCCTCGTTCAGTGGAGAGGGCAAATCATTTATCAGTACCAACCTCGGCGCGGTGCTGGCCATATCCGGCAAAAAGACAGTAATACTTGAATTTGATATCCGTAAGCCAAAAATCATGGAGGGCCTGGGCCTGAATGAAAGAAAAGGGCTTACCAATTACATTGTAGGCAGTATTTCCATAAACGAAATCATCTACCCGGTGCCAGGGCAGGAAAACCTATATGTTATTCCCTGTGGTCCGTTACCACCCAACCCCTCAGAAATGCTGCTGGACGAAAAAATTGCGACGCTTTTTACCTTACTGAAGCAGCAGTTTGAAGTAATTATTATTGATACGGCGCCGGTAGGACTGGTAAGTGATGCCATTACCCTGGGTCAGCAGGCAGACGCTACCATGTACATTGTGCGGCACAACTATACCTTCAAAAAGCAAATACAGTTAATTGATGAAATTTACAGTGCCCGGAAATTGCCCCACCTGGCCATTATTATAAACGATATCAAAACAAAAGCCGCCGGTTATGGCAATTACGGATATGGGTATGGTAACTATGGTTATAACAGTTATGGCTATGGTTACGGAAATACTGAAGGCGGTGCTGCCGGAAAAACAGGTAAAAAGGGATTTGTCAACACGATTAAAAACTGGTTTTCTTAACAGCCTCCTGTACTGAATAATTAATTTTTGTGCATGGATGGCAGTATACAATTTGCTATTATTGGCTGTGGAAGGATAGCGCAGCGGCATGCATTGGAAGCAAGCCGTACCGGAAGGTTACTGGCAGTATGCGATACAAGAATAGAAAGAGCGCAGCAACTGGCGGAACAATATGGCGCGGCCGCCTA